GGGCTAGCTAGCATGCACAGGGTCAGGTAAAGATTTTGCACGGTGAGCTTTCCTATTCTATTCAGAAATTCGTAGTGAAACCAAAATGTTCTGCTTCTCTTACATCTCCCAGAAACACAGCGTGTAAGAAAACTGACTTGGCAGCAGTGGCTGACGTTTTAGCTTTCTACTTGGGCTGAAGTCATAGATCGACCTGCAGCATAATTTAGCCCAGAGCATTGATGTCCCCGCTCAGTTGTTGAAAACAAAGCCATACCAATGTGAATGGGAGGAGGGGGCATGGAGCAGAGACCCAGTGCCCATCTGTAGACAATTGGACATCCCCTCACAGAGAGGTCACTGGGAAGAGATGAGCCAGTCAGGGTGCATTATAGCACCAATGAAACACAACTTTCCTCTAGTTCTTTGGTCCTTCCTTCCCCCCACCCCCCCACTATCATTAGATTAGACCAGAGCATGCACACTGCTACAGATAAGAGCCTGAAACACAGGGAATCCAGGATAGATAAACCCTGTAGAGATACCAGGAGGATTAGGGGAGGGTGGGGGGAGAAAGGGGAAACCAATCACAAGGATCAACCTATAACCCCCTCCCAGGAGGGCGAACAATGGAAAAGTGGGTAAGGCATGACGGAAGATGATGTAAGATATGAAAATAATAATTATAACTTATCAAGGGCTTGTGAGGGAGGCTGGGTCGGGGGTTGGAGAGGGAAGAAATGGGGAGCTGCTTTCAGGGGCTCAAGTGGGAAGAGAATGCTTTGAAAATGATGATGGCGGCACATGTGCAAATGGGCTCCCAATGGATGAATGTATGGATTGTGATAAGCGATGTGAGAACCCCAACTCAATGGTACCTAACACCAGCAAGCAAACCCCCAAAACAAACTCACTGCCACGGATTTCATTCTAATTCATAGTGAGCCTATAGGACTGAGTGGAACTGTCCCCGTGGGTCTCGAAGACTACATCTACAGGCGTGGACAGCCTAGTCTTGCTCCTCTTGAGTGGCTGGTGATTTTACCCTGCTAAACTTCTGGTTAGCATTCCAAAGCAGTAACTTATTCTGAACAGAAAAAAAAAAAAGACTTTTTGTCCTAGCAGGTGATCGGTTTAATTTATTATACGCAATAAACCATGAACATTGATTTGAAGCGGCCCTATTGCCTTCTCATGAAAGAGAGGAGGAAGGAAGGAAGGAAGGAAGGAAGGAAGGAAGGAAGGAAGGAAGGAAGGAAGAAAAGAAAGGAAGAAGAAAACACAGGGACAGCCCTGGTCTACCTGAACATTCTCTGTGACGTCGGGGTGGGTGTTTTTGTTCTCTTAACTAACTTCCCCATGGCTAACCTCGAGACCCTTCCAGAACAAGTCATGGTCTTGCTGGCCTGCAGTGCAGAGTCTGGCAGGGTTGGGCAGGAACAGCTTCAGGACACAGGCGGGTGGGACCCATGGAGAATCTCCAGAGCCCTGGCCAAAAGCTGCTGCGGGAGGACCCCGGCGAGGCATTAGTGCCGTCTTCCTGCTCCTCAGGGCTGTGTGTGGTGGCAGAGCACGCGTGGGTCCCCTGTCTCCATCGCGAATGGTCAAGCTGAGGCTGAGCAGCAGCATTGGGGCCGTCACTCTCTGGAGAGAGGGAGTGTGTCTTTCAGGAGAAGGTGTTGCAGCTGAGCATGACCTTGGAGGGCTCCTCCAGCTTGGTGGGGCTCGGAAGGGGATGTGTGTGTATGACTTCGTCAGTGAATATTAAGTCCAAGTTGAAGAGGCACGTGATCGTCCCCCATATCTGAGAGGAGGCCTGCATCGAAAATAATGGCAACAATTGTCTCAAGAAGAATCTAACCAGGGACGGAAAACTCAGGAGATGTCTCCGTGTCCTTGTCCTGGATTCGAAACAGAGGATTGTGCTGGCAGAGAGCGATGTGATCTCATCCATTCGATGAGGGCGTTGCAGCTCAAACAAGTATTACTCAGCTATACGTAACAGCACACACTACGAGTGTGCCTTTAGGATCGTAAAGTCTAGCCGTCAAGTCGATGCCGGCTCATAGCAGCCCTCTAGGACAGGGTAGAACTGCCCCAGTGAGTTTTCAAGACGGGGACCTCTACAGGCGCAGAAAGCCCATCTAGCTCCCAGGGAGCAGCGGGTGGTTCTGACCTTCTGACTTTGAGGTTAGCAACCCAACCTGGAGGCACTACACACCACGGCTCCCTGGATGATCAAATAGGTGGCAGCCAGCATGTGTAATTGGGGTGGTTTATAGGTAAGTATAAATCTCTGGGGCCAGGGCTGCAAATGGCTAAGAGCTGCACCCCTAGCCTAGTGAAAAAAGCCCGGAATGCTGGCTTCACCATGTCTCACCCGTGGAAAGGCTCTGGCACCCACGCAGCCGCCCTGGGTTGGAATGGACTCTGTGGAGAGGAACAAGCACAACAATGGCAAGCCTTTCACAGATCCATGACGGCGGCCTGAACTCCCAAAGCAAACGCAGTTAATTGCTGGATGCAGTGTATAAAAGGTGTTAACCAAAGAGACATGGTCCATGTATGGCTCCTAAATAATAATTAACTCACTCAACCTCTCAACAGTCCCCCAACTAGTCATAAGGGTCGCCTAATCAGGTTATGTTTGAATCCGAACGAGGCCGCTTTTAAAATTGACAGCAGACACCTACGGTAGCTAAATTGTTACCTGTATTGGAGTGCTTGATTCCAGAGTAGCTGAGGAACCTGGTGATGGACAGAGCATGCCTGGAAATAACTATAACGTTTGAATTCAAGCATCTTTCAGATATCCCAATCATGTGTGATTTGTTGCATTTTAGCATTCGACTTTTCCAAAACAATTATTATTAAAATTATGTGGGGAGAAAGCTGTTTACATAATGCAATTAGATGTCTGTCTTCTTAATTTAGTATTTGCTTCTGTTTTTCTTCTGCACCCGACTCCATACTATATCATGTAATTTTCCCACTGAAGGGACAGGTGGAGCGTGACTGAAAGGATTCTAACCACTTCCCACACAAATCAAGCCACCACCTCACCCTTAACGCTGCTCCACCCCTGGTTCCTCCCTGTTCTCCAATAAAGAAGGCCAGGACGAGAAAGTACTGCAAGTGTAGTGTTGCTACCTGAAACCCAGTACCTTCCAGATGCACCACACAGGCTGACCGAGCTTGATTTTGCTTTTTCTCCTCTTGTGCTTACTTCTTTAGGAAACATAAAAATTAAAAAAAAACTGATGATGAAATGTCCCTGACCTCAGGTCATATAGATTCAGGTCATATTCTTGTGTCCAAGGACTGAGTGGAGTGGGAGGTCTGCCCAGACCCCATGGGAGCGAGAACATGTTTCACAAGCCACGTGCCAAGGGTGCCTGTGTATATACCTTCACGAGAAGCTGAGAACTCACCGCATTTTCCAACAGCAGTGTCTTGTGTTCTCTGGAGAGCTACACTGGCTCCCTTGTTAGAAAGGGTCACTCGAGGACACCAGCGACGACTCTTCACAGATGTTCTTTCAGAAGCGAAGTACGGAGACAGCCTCGATGGAGGGAGACCCTGCCAAATTCACCACGTCCACAAATGGCAGGAGTCGTACGTCCCCAGAAGTGACCTCATTTCTCCAGAATGCTCCCAGGAGCAGGGATGCTGGAGTCAAGAAGGCCCTTTCTTGGCCTCGTGCCACAGCCCGTGGAGGCCTGGGCCACGAAGGTGCTCACAGGATCCCCAAACAAAGGCCACAAAAAGGAACATTCAGCTTTCAGAAAATGTTAGGCCGAAAGTCCCTGTCAGAAGGGGCGGAAACAAATGAAAATCGAGCGCGATGACAGATACTGACACGGAATCCACGGGGTGGACTGCCTGCCTGACCAGAGAAGCTTCTCCTGTTCTGTGATGGGACTGGCATGCTTTCCTGGAGAAGCATCTGCCCGCTCCGTAGGCCTGCCTGCTCTGTGGGACCGACTGGGAAGCTGCTAGGATTTCAGGAAGGCTCAGGCCCAAGACCCAAAGGGAACGCCCGATCCATGGTTCATACGAGTCCTCTGACCTGTGGGTTCGACAGACTGCGAAGGAATCCAAATGAAATCATTTCACCGGACTGGATCTTCCTTTCTAGAGCGATGCCAGATCTGAGCTGGGCTTCCCCGGGCATGCGTGGGAGATGAACAGTCACCTTTGGCAGGGTGCCTTCTGCACGTCTAGAAGGCCTGCTGTCTTCTCACAAGGCGACAATAGATGGCTATTAACTTATACTCGGCATCTGAGCTTCTCACATTGCTGGCTTGTAGCTTTAAGTCGGCTAAACAATTGCAGCTTCTCAAAATTAATGACGTAGGTTATGTTGTCATTAACTGAGGCCATTCAAGGATCACTTCTAAAATATGAGGAAGTCAGGTAAACAGAATCTAGTGCTGACGTCAGATTTTAAGCTAATGCTGAAATACTTTATATTCTGAGCGGCTTTGAACTTGTTTGACCCTGGTAAACATGCATCTGGGAGAGTCTTATGCATGGGCGCATTCGAAAATTCGATGCTGCGGTTAGCGATGATCTCAGGAAAGCAGTGTTTTCGTTTCTTTGTTTTAAAAAATGAGGACTGTGGGGAGCCACTTGGTGGCACACATGGTTACGCTGTCAACCACTAACGGGAAGGCTATTGATTTGAACCCGCCCAGGGGCTCATTGCGCAGTACTGCTTGATGGTTAAGAGAGCAGACTCTTGGGCTTGACTTTATCTTCCAGGTTTTACATTTCCCAAACTGGTGGCCTTGGGTGAGTTGTTTAACCTAACTGTGCCTCAGTTTGCTCACCTTGTAAACTGGAGCCAGGGAAGCACTTAGCCACAGCTTGGCGCACAGGAAGCCTATGCGGTAATTGTGGTCGTGAGCAGTAAGGCCGGGAGTAGAGAGCCAAAGGGACGTCCAAGCATTTGCTGTAGCTACACCGGGAATCGTATGCCCTGGATTGAACTCTCTTCTCTCCCCACCCCCTCCCAACAGGAAAATGGCAGATGCACGACGGCGGCCTCCTGAACATCACCAAGGTGTCTTTTTCAGACCGAGGTAAATACACCTGCGTCGCGTCTAACATCTATGGCACCGTCAACAACACAGTGACCTTGAGAGTCATCTTTACCTCGGGAGACATGGGCGTCTACTACATGGTGGTCTGCCTTGTGGCCTTCACCATCGTCATGGTCCTCAACATCACCCGCCTATGCATGATGAGCAGCCACTTGAAGAAGACGGAGAAAGCCATCAACGAGTTCTTCAGGACCGAAGGTGCCGAGAAGCTGCAGAAAGCCTTCGAGATTGCCAAGCGGATCCCCATCATCACCTCAGCCAAAACTTTAGAGCTCGCCAAAGTCACCCAGTTCAAAACCATGGAATTTGCCCGCTACATCGAAGAGCTGGCCAGGAGTGTGCCTCTGCCGCCTCTGATTATGAACTGCAGGACGATTATGGAGGAAATCATGGAAGTGGTGGGGCTGGAGGAGCAGGGGCAGAATTTTGTCAGGCATGCTCCAGAAGGCCAGGAAGCCCCCGACAGGGACGAGGTCTACACCATCCCAAACGCCCTGAAGCCAAGCGACTCCCCCACCGCCGACTCGGACACCTCCTCCCTGCACGAACAGCCCCAGCAGATTGCCATCCAGGTGTCGGTCCACCCGCAGGCCACCAAGGACCACGTGGAAGACCAAGAAGGCAGGCCACTAGAGGGCAAAGATGAAGAGGAGACCGAGCCATCGGCTGAACAGTCCCCGGAAACCGCAGAACCTTCCACCGATGTAACATCCACGGAGCTCACATCGGAAGAACCGACACCTGTTGAGGCGTCAGATAAAGTACTTCCACCAGCGCACCCAGAGCCAGCAGTGGCCCAGGACAAAAACACCTGCGTTGTGTACGAAAGCCATGTCTAATTCCAACGCTGCAAAGCTATGCATATCAAGGAAAACAGGGGCTGCTCCTTGAAATAACAGTCCTGATCCGCACTTGCCACTAAGCCTTACCAGGAGACTCATCCCTTAGACAGAAGTGATGCCATTTTAAAAGGGGGCTCGCCTGTGTGCAGTCTCTGGGACTGGCATTTCCCCAGGAGCAAAGGATATGGGAAGCAGCAGGGTACAGGACTAATCAGACCAATAGAAGGTGTCTGCTTGCCTGACACGACTCTTAGAGGATGTTCTCGGCCAAAGTCCTTGATTGGCAATGCCCTTCCTGACATTCTGAGCTCATGATCCCTGCCCCATGCGCCCTGCATTGCTTTCTCTTTTAAAAATGATAAGTCTCCTGTCTTAGCAAATGCACGTTTATGGGTTCGTTGCACTTTCTTCTTAGTTTGAATTAGGTTCACTCTTCCCTCACATTGGAGTCGTTATTATATTAATATTAATTGCTGTTTCTGGTTCCGCCCTCTTTGTCATGTTTGTTCTTATTTTGCCCAAGAACACGTACCTCAGACACTTGGGCCCCAGTCACCGGGATGAGGGCTCATAGCCTCAAAGCCACCTGTGATGTTCCAAAGCAGTCACTAGGCTCATGATGACTCTTTGTTTCCCAGGCTTATTTTCATGCATTATTTTGTGTGTGTCCAACGAAGCTGCTATTGTGAAACCGAGGGAGAATTTTTTTTGTGTGTGCCTAGGAAATAGCACTTTAATAGCCAAATAAAAATGTGTTTACTTATCCAATTCTGGGAACCTTTTGGTGAGCTCAACGGGGGTGTGAAGAGTTACTATAAAAGGCTATGTATACCCATATGACCCTTGAAAACCGCTGTTGATCTTTGAATTACATCACCCTCCAAACAAAGGCTGACTCTTTACCTGGACACCATAGTGCAGCCAAAGGCGGAGCTGTTGTGGTGAGCTCCTGTCAGCTGTGGACTCTGGTGTCCCAGAAGGGCTGCGGGGACCTTAGCCACTGCTTTGGAGCAGCAGGTTGGAAGGGTCTGTGAAGTGGTGTCCACGGGTCCTCCTTTGTGAACCGTGAAGCTGGCTTGGTGGGGACAGTAAAAGTTCAGGCTCCCCTGAAGGGGAGAGTAAAGGGTTAGAACAATGGTTTAGGAGACAGTGCCATCAAACCACATGCCAAAATTATGGCATGATGATTCAGCCCTCCACGAAAGCTGGTACATGCAAGACAGCGTGATGCCATACAGCGAAGGCAGACCTACTCCAGTAGCTTAGGCTTTGGGCACATCTGGATCTCGGTTTCCTCATCTGTAAGAGAGGGCAGACTGAACGAGTGGGAGCAACTTGTCAGTGCCCTTTCCTCCCAGAACTCCCTCACAGTGATGTCCTTCCAAGACAGTCCACTCTGGCTTCACCGAATGTTTTCACGCTGCAAACCACATTGAAGTGGAAAACACCGCTTTACAAAATGACAACATTTTAACCAAGCTGTGTTCTCCACCCCTCACCAAACAAACAAGTAAATGCAGTAGGACCACGTCTGTCATGTAGAGGATCTGGCGGTGGGGAGTATGAGTGACATTTGGTTTTGACATAGGATCAAGAGACACAGGCACATTAAAGCAGTTCTAAGGGTCATGGCCACAGATGTTACACAGGGCCCTTGGGCAGTGAGGAAGGAACTAGGTCCATGTGTGTAGTCCTCACCCAGTCAACACCCGAGGGAGTAAATGTGGGCAATTCCTTTTGCGCCCTCTCTGAGGTTTAATCCCCGCCTTCTGTAAAGCATGTGGGTTGTACTTGATTGGCCCTGGTAGCACAAACATTTAGAGTTTTATGGAAAGCTTATAAATCTGCCACAGTGGCCGCCATTGCCCGAGACAAGCACTTCGCAGAACCAAAGTGGGGACCAGACCGGATGTGTTGGTCGTGCAAACATCGCAGCCAGTGTATCTGCCTCTGTAACTTAGGGGACTGGGCTTGGGAGGTGACCTTAATGGGTGTCTTTGTTTATAGGTAATTGGTGTGACAGGCAATCCCACAGACATGGGATTTGATTGGATTTTCTTGATGGGCAATGACCCGTTTGGCATCATGTCTGGGATGGACACATACATTAGTGCTGGGCAGTCAGGATAAACTGGGATTCCTATCTGGGCTCTCTGGACCAGGGTCGGTATCTCCAGCTCTTAGAAAAGTTTTCCAGTTGTTATGGAGGTGAACAGATTCTCCCCACGCACCTGTGTGTGCAAGGAAGCAACCATTTAGAAAGCTCCTTTTGCAATCTTGTGTTTTTCCTCCTCCTCCTCTTTGCTCATTGCACCCAAACCCAAGTACAAAAATCCCAGAAGAAAAGTGCACGTAGGCATTTGTTCTATCTAGAAAGATACTGAGCTAAAATGAGCATATTTTTTGTGAAGTAAGAACAGAATTAGGCGACCAAAGAATGTTTCCTGATTGGTTTTAGCTTCTGTAGATTGAGGAGGGAGTAGGTGGCACACACAGATTATTCCAAATAGTCTCCCTCTTCAAGGCGTTGAGATGCTCTTGATGTAGTCATAGCTGACCGAAGGGGAGATTGACTTATAAAAGGGGATTTCTCCTGTCAGAAATTGTACACGCTTCCCTTCAGTTTTATAGCTTCTTTGGCAAATGAGAGAGGCCTTCCGCAGATCGTGAAACACAGGACCTCATTTGTTTCAGCTGAATTTTCAAAGATCACGTGAACTGTTAAGCTTCATGGAAATTCACAGACAAATGACCATTGTGAATGTGTGTGTAAGAGAGAGAGAGACTGACTGATTTGGACAGCTTTAAAAGTCCTATACTAAATTAATCTCAAGTTGTGCCAATTGGGTCCTGTGAAGTCCTTCTTAAAATCAAACACTTTTTGGTTTCTGCGTCCTCCTGGACGCATCTTAGTGATTTTTTTCCCTCTTGAAGTTCTGAAAATGATTAAGCTACATGTGCATATTTGATTCACTTATCGGTAAGCTTGGGTGGTATTTATTCTAAATGGAAAACAGAATTTTATACTGAAAATCTATGTAATTTATACTGATTTTGTTTTATATATTATATTTTCATATCTTTAGGGCACATCTACTATTCTCATCTTTTTGTATATCGTACTTGGCAAAAAGAACTACTAATACTTGACTAAAATCTCTAGGAACCAAATGTGATAGGTAACATATAGAAATCTCTAAAAATGCCTGAATGTTCTCACCCATCGCAAGCGTGTTTGTGCTGTGTTACTACGTCCAGAGTGTTTTATTCTCAGCTATGAATGAACATTTTATTGTTTGTTTGATTTTTTAGTCAAAACCAAAACCAAATTTCAAGGCTTGACACCCTACACAGTGGCTTCTGGAATCCCTTCACTTCCTTGTTTTTTGGTTTGTTTGTTTTTACTTTTCATTGCAGAAGTTTGCATTGCATTATCGAAATGTGTCCCCTTTGAAGGGCAAATGGGACATAAGAGCAACCACAAAACTTCACGGGAAGAGGGAATTCCGTCATGACGTCATACATGATTTTAAAGACTGACAACGTGCTAAGGTTTTAACTGTTTGGTGAACCAAGCTCCCTATGCCCAGCCCTTAATCAATGAGGAAAATGGAAGGTGCAAAGAATATTTGCATGCTCTGAAGAGAACACTCTAAAAGTCGTGCAGCCCACTCAAATCCGCTAACACCCAGTCCCAGCCTTGAGAGAACACGTTGGAAAGGCACATCTGACACCTTTTCTCACACAGATTGGAACACAGTGGAGTGTCAGTGCTGAAATCTTAAATAGCAGTCCCTACGGCTCTGTTCATTAGGTCAGATCTTGTTTCCCGGTACACTCCTTTCTCAGCACGGTTCGGCTGCTGTCCTGAACGTAGCATCACACACCCGTTTGGCAATCCTTTCAGATGATAAACCGTGTTTCTAGTCTTGGTACTCAATTAAAACTAATTTATTGATCATCTTTAAGTCACAGTGTAGGTTCACGCATATTTGGACTACCTGTTATCTTCAAGGTCGTAATCATTTTTATAGTCTCTGTTTATTTAAATATACTCAAGTAGATCACAAAGCTTACTTTCCTAATGCCTTGGTTTAGGATTGCCACAGCGATTAAGCGGGTTTGGGTTACACAAAGCCGTGTTGGGGAAGAAAATCAAATAGAATTCTTGTTATATTTTCCAAAGGACCAAGTGTTTGTCTATTATATAAGAAAATATATGAGAGTGAATATGGTATTTAATTGCGTTTTGTTTTTTGGAGATGGAATTTATAACAGGACAAATACAACAATATCGCAGTCAGAATTGAAGTTAGAGAATATGAAGATAGAAAACAAGTGATTGTAAGACTCTTCTAGCACAGGTTGTTTTTATTTGAGTAACAATAGAAGCCTTCAGATGTTCGACTCAGCCACCGCGAAGCTGCTAACAGTGAGTCAGGCCAAAATAGATGCTGTTGTTTATGCTCGTTTGCTGTATTTCAGTAGTTCTGAGTGTCCGTTGCTACAATAAGATACTTTTTTTTAATTATCTGGGAAGAAATGTCAAACCGGCAATTTTTGTGAGCTACCAAATGTTCACTTAAACAATAACGATGTAAGCAAATGACTAATATTTAAGTTGATGTTACAAGAGCAACAGCCACAAACAATCATGTGATCCATCTTGTACTTTTGATTGTTGCTTTAATAAACGGTTTGTGCAGGTATGTGGCATGTGTATTGTATCTGACCTGCAGCGTATGTCATTGTGGTCTCACTTGCTTTTTCTAGAGACATGGAACCTGTAGCCAATTCTTGTCCCTGCCTTGTGTAGCTGCGGCATCGAGAGAGGGCAATGAAATCATTCTTCTGTCAAGCTACATTTTATTTTTCAAATCCATCCACCCTAACACTTCTTCCTTTTCACTAATGCCGTGGCAGTTCACTGTGTTCTGTCTCCAGCATGCCACATCAGTTTGTGGTAGAGAATCCAGCAGAGTAGGACACACATGTCCAGGAACACCACCCTGAGAGAAAGAAGCCCGAAGAGCAGCATGGCCCTGAGATCAGCTCAAGGGCTCCAAATCCAGATCTTGTCCCAGAATGTGCTCAGGAGGTTGAGGTGTGGAGCGCACTTAGACACTGCCAATTGGGGAAGTCAGATGCAGGGGAAAGGCTGTCTAAGGAGTGTAGACAGAAGCAGCAAATCAAACAGCTAAGTTATACAATAATAACCTCATGTAACCATACATAGGTTCTCTCAAGAAAAGGAGGGGATAGGAGAATCGTGTTGGCTATCATGGAAAAATTAGTTCTTGTGTTATCACCAAAAGAAAAAATAGGGAAGTTTCACCCCGATTGAGAAAATATGAGCAGGCCAGATATTTACGACCTTGAATGAAAAAAATGCTAATTAGTTTTTTTTATATGTCTTGGTTTTGGAATGCCATGTTCTGCATGGACTTTAATCAAAGGAGCTTGGTAAGGCTTAACATGAGTGGTTTTTCCAAGAAGCAATCGGTCTCATAATTGGCTAATATGTGCCAGAGTATCTGGTGTACAAATCTTTCCCACACTGTACCTAACAAATAGTAATTCAGTTCTGCCTGACAGGGTCTGAGCACACAGAGAGCCTCACCTCCTGCAGTAGCACTGTCCACTGTTGACCTCAGTGCAAAGTCAGAATCTTAAAACCACCACCCGTTCCTCCTCGGGCTCTCGAGCTGAAAGCATGAGTTTGTCTTGCCACATAACGTCTTTTTTTACCATCAATGTAAATGTTATTTATATGATTATAAATGTATTTATAAAGAGGGTTGCCCCCAAATTGGGTATTCTTGATGCTACTAACTATATTACACGCCACGCAGTACACACCCTTTTGAAAAGACTGTCAGCCAAGAGGAATGTGAAGATGGGAGTCGGGTGGATCCTATGCCCTCTGCCCTGGGTTGCTGTGAAGTAAAACGAAGGCCAGAAGGGATGAGCACAGAGGTGCATTGCCTCAGTAGACTAGCATCGTTGTAAAGACCGTTAGCAGTGACGTCCTGGAAAAGTATCATTGGGAGGTCAATTTGAAGAGATTAAATTAGAGCTGGCATAAATTGCACTTACTGTAGTAGTTAAAATGACACCCAGGGTAGACTAACAGTTATCCTAATAACTGAAAAGTATGTAAACAAAGGTTGTTAGAGAATAGGATTTTTTTTTTAATTCTCACTACAGGGCTTTCTACTTCCGTAAAAAGTTACCGTCTCAGAAACTCACCCGGGCAATTCTACTCCGTCCCACAGGATCTCTGTGAGGGCAACCCCTGCATTTTCTACCGCTCGCCCATTTTCAGTGAGGTTACCTGGGGTCGCCGTGCCTCGGGATCAGCTCAGTGACAACTGGCAGCAACTCTCTGCTAATGAAAAAGCGAATCATTTTGGTGGTCACTTGGAATTAACTGAACAAAGTGGGTTTTCCTAAAACTGACTAAGAACGCCGTGCGTGGCACCCTGATGCCACCAGCAGAGAGGGTAATCCAATGCAGTACCAGCCAAGGCTGAGTCCTCTGAGCCTTGGGTCCGCCATGCCTCCGCCCGCCACCCAAGGCTGGCGCCTTGAGGGCCACAGACAAATCCAATTGTGTGATGTAATAGGGGAGTTCGCAGGTTACAATTCAGGGCCAGAAATGCTCAAGACAGTTCTGCCAGGACAGTCTTTTCTCAGCCATACCTGCGGGCACACTTCTCTGGTCCTTGGTCTATCAACCCCTTGGCCCTTGGTCTCGGCCCTGCCCAAGCAGCGTCACAAAGTTCCTTCAGCCCTGCCACTAAATGCCAATGGCTGCTTCACCATAAGCCTTGACCCAAGGTTACTTGGCTCTAAGCCTTTGGGTCAGAAAACTAACGTCCTTGGTGAGCCCATTCTGCAAGAGAGCCTCCTGCCCAAAGGCACTTACTTTTTGGAGGTCAAGAAACATGTCACCGTCTCGTGATCTGACTCTGCCCCTCCTTCAGTGTGACAGTTCTCTGTCTCCTGGATAAAGGGGGTTCAAGGATCTCAGAATTTAAATAACACACTCTGCTCCTGGCTCTTTTTTCCGGAATGGTAGGGAGATTCCTCTTTCCTGCTTCTGGGATGGCCCTTTTTATACCCAACGGAATGACAAAGTTAACTAATCCCCTCATTGAGTTCCAACAGTGAAACCTGCTATCCCAACAGAATGATGGAGTCGCATCAGCATCGTCCTCCACTTTGCCTCATCCAGCTTCATCAGGAAAGAGGGGCTCCAGCCCATCTGCATGGCCCCACCCAGATGTTTGGTGGGAATCAGAGGCTTCGGCTAGAAGAGCTAGGGCTAAGTCACTGCACCACGGTGAGTCATGTTTTGGAGTGGGTGATGAGATATCATGCAAATCAATTATTTGTGCATAGAACACAGCAAAATCCAGGACATTTTTTGTTGTTCCATTTAAGACTGTGGTACTTATTTCCTAAATGATTTTTTTTTTCTGATTCTTAATAAGTTGATGTATATTTGAAACCCCTAAGGATTCCTGGTGGTGCACTGGGTTACACGTTAGGCTGCTAAGTGCATGGTCAGTAGTTCAAACCCACCAGCAGCCCCTCATGGTTTGACCCTATTGTGTAGGGAAAAAATGAAAATTAACATGGAGATTCTGTGATTTAAAAAAATTTTAGTACAAATTATGCTTCATTATCAACTCAGTCTAAAATTTTTTAATGTTCAAAGTTTTTGAGATTCATTATTTCTGAAACACTGCCAAATCCTGGGGGGAAAAAACAGATTCAAAAACTTATTTTTGAAACTTGCTCCATGTTACTTTTTCTCATGCCAGACTATAGTCGATCTGATTAAGTGTATTTTTTATATTCTAAGAATTCTTTAAGATGTATAATATCTTTCATATAAATTCACTAACCTTCCATAACCAGATTACCTGACTAATTAAATATTCAACTCCCAACTCTTGAGTAAATGAGTTACAATGTGATTATAAACGTAGATCACTAGATGGTCTCCCTGTCTTTAGCCTACAGAAGAAAATGGGAGTCTTAAGGCTTCAAGGGCTGTTCTCATGACTGCTTATAAACAGAACGCATAGTGGGTGGCAAGATGTAAGACCAAACCAAATATGCAACATATTTTCCTCTAAGTCCTCATGGATGGATTTGCATTTGCATTTTAAGACGTTTTTCATTATGAGATCTTTTTAAAACACCTCAATTTAAAAATCATCCAGATACAATTATAAACTTAAACTATTTTCCTTTTTCATTAGACATTCATGTTCATCAATCTAGGAAAATCCTACAATATTCATGATTTTTCTGTTCGTGTGTATCCAAAAAGAGGATCGTTTCATGGCACCTCATGTAGATTTTGACTCATTGCCCAGACATGAGATTCTCCTATTCCACTTGGAAGCAAAACTGTCTGTGTCCCAACTTTGGGGAATGAATCCTGACGACTGATGTTAACTTGTGTGTTGCTTGTAGGAGGCGTGGGTGAATTTTATCTTAGTGCGCTTAAGAATGGGACATATATCTCTTTTTATTTCGAAATACTTGTGTTTATATGCCTATGGAAGAAAGAGTATGGAGAAATTTACCTAGTTCTCCCAACCGTAACATCTTGCAAAACTGTATAGTACACTATCACAATCAGGATATTGCCATGGATGCAATCCACCAATCTCTTTTCATATTTTCCCAGTCTCACATGTTCTCATGTGTGTGTGCTCTACACATTTGATCCCATAACTAAGTCTGTGTCTTCACTCCCACAAACGACAGAGCAGTTCCAGTACCACCAAGATCCCTCACGTTGTCTTTCTACAACCATACCTCCCTCCCTCCGAAGCATCAGAACATTTGGGGGTCATCAGTAAATTCTGCTTCATTAGGTAACTGAAGCTTAGTTGGAACCAATAGCAGTGTTTTTCCATAAAATGTGCCGATTAACCAATTACTGGATGCCTGACTTCTCATCATGTTAGAATACTTGTGTAATGAGAACAGAGAGGAGGTTCTGGAAACACAAGGGAAGAGAGACATTTGCAGGCTTGAAACCCTATCAGACTTCTGAGAAGAGATCTGATGCAGCAGGTCAAAGTCTTTAGCAAAAGAACTCTCAGACATGCAGTACTGACCCTAGACATCTATCGGCAGCCAAGCGATGCAGGCTGTAGAACAGCCCTGGTTTCTACACCCTTGAACTCTCAAGGAAAGAGCCTCATACTTACACCCAGCCCAGAAGTCCCAGAGCTGAGACCCCAGAATGGGAGCCCGAAGACCCTGGCTGAGGACTCAAACAGCCTCCTTGATGGAGGTGGAGACCGCGTTATCTGTGCTTTCTCCCCCTGTGATAAGGCAATAGTCAATATTAAAAGAGTCACATCCGGGCAATAATGAGATCTCTATCAGCGCTACTGTTAGCAATGCACTAAGGCGCTTAGTAAAAATGTCACACCACTCACCATCCCAAGTATTGAAATTAGGAAAACCAACCACACGCTTGAAAGAAAAGACCCTGAGCCCAAAGTCAAAAGAACATAGGGGGAAGCAGATTTCTGAGCAGCGTTATGTAAGGCCCCTAGCTGAAGCCTCTGAAATGCCATCATGAAAGATCCATTCCCTCAAAGTAACATTTTTTTCTCCTAATTATGCAAATAGGTTGAGCCTGTAAAGACAATGAGCGCCTCTTGAGCATCATTAA